TCTGCTATGCACTTTCCATCAGGTGTATTGAGATTTACTTATAAGTTTTACTGCCATGTATGCACACTGGTCACTAATCACACGCCAATATTATAGGTATAACTGATATCCTATGTCAGAGGCAATCTTCCAGATGGCCTTTACAGGCCTCAGCCATGTAGCTATAGATGTTGGCTCCCAACAGGTAACTGTGACATGAATATGACACTTTGCATTTAGTGAGAACATGTTTTTAAGGAGATTTAACTAACAGAGCATTAACAGACAAAACCATTACAGTGTTAGCGAGGATCACTAAAACTGAAATGATCACTCTGGTTGAGGTCACTGACAAAGAGTGGTCTGTAGAATATGTGGGAAACTATTTAGGATGGAGACCTGGGCTTCTCTGAACACCTGTGAGTGAGAGGATTACAGCTAAAGTGATGATTTACGATGAATCCAACAAATATTTACTGAGTTGTTCTTATGATGTGAGGTAGAGCAAATTGAAGTTAACAAACTTAATAAAGTAGAAGAGGGAGCAGAGGAATCCCAAACAATTTGCTACTCTGAGATGCTGCGTGAATCCTGCCTAGAATAGGACAGGGAGAACTCATGTCAGAAAGTCAGCAAGGAAGCAACTCTACATGTTCCTAGAGCATTGACTTAAAGTAGAAATGAGGCGAGGTGTGGTGGCTCATGCCTGTAATCCCAGTGCTTTGAGAGGCCAAGGTGAGAGGATTGCTTGAGCCCAGGAGTTCGAGAACAGCCTGGGCAGCATAGCAAGACCTCGTCTCTACAAAAAACTAAAACATTAGCCAGGGGTGGTGGTGCACGCCTGTAGTCCCAGCTACTCAGGAGGCTGAGATGGAAGAATCACTGAGCCCAGGAGGTAGAGGCTGTGGTAAACTGTGATCATGCCACTGCACTGCTGCCTGGGTGACAGAGTGAGACCCTGACCCAAACAAATAAATAAGTGGCTGGGTGTGGTGGGTCAAGCCTGTAATCCCAGCACTTTGGGAGGCTGAGGTGAGGGACTGCCTGAACCCATGGGTTCGAGAACAGCCTGGGGAACTTGGCAAGATCTCATCTCCACAATAGATCAAAATATTAGCCGGGTGTGGTAACGTGCGCCTGTAGTTCTGGCTACTTGGAAGACTGAGGTGGAAGGATCATCTGAGTCCAGCAGGTCAATGCTGGGGTAGCCGTGAGCATGTCATTATACTCCAGCCTGGGCGATGGAGTGAGACTCCAACTCAAAAAAAAAAAGCAAGTAGAGATGAACATAGTCATTTATACCATTGTTTCAGTATGACACTGTGTTTTACTTTTTGCCGCGTTTGAAACTCACACATGGCTTTACTTTTGTTTATGAAATTGTAATCCTCCCCTTGTTGTTCAAGTAAATAAAAGTCTTTAAATCCACACAGTTGTGAGGGCCTAGTTCATGCAAATTGAGGTGCTCTAAATCCTCTGACTCCCACTATTATACTCAAAGATCATGACAGCTGAGTTTTTATGAAAAATACAAGTCTTGACTTGATTTCTTAAAATTTCAAATAATAATGGGACGCTGAGGCTGCTTCAAACTAGTAATCGCTGTCATTGTGTAGGGGGTGGGTAGAGGAATGGACGGAAGCAAGTCTTCTTTGTGCTGAATCTTTTTTCTTTTAATTTAAAAAAAATTGTCTTTTTTTAATTTTAAAGATGGGGAGTACAACTCAGGATTAGGTATACAAGTGGCCATCGTACAGGCACAGTTTGGGCCTCCCTTTGCTTCCCACTTCACCTGGTTTGAGATCAGGGACCCTTATGGATGGTCTGTGCCCCTATTCTGAGTCTTTAGCAGAAGCTCACCGGACAAGCGTGAGTGAAAACAGGGCTGTCGTTTTCCAGTCTTGATGACGAATTCAGATTCAGTCATTCCATCTGGCCCTCGACCATTAAGTGTCTGTGGAGGTGGACTCAGGCCATAGCAAATGGCAAACTTTATTTAAAAAAGAAAAGCTTCATCTAACCAGTTGATAACTGTTATCATTTAAGTCAACAGAATATGCTTGCTTTCAATATCGGTGGCTCGTTTTATGTGAGCACATGAGTTACATTTCATTCAACTTTTAGTTCCTGCAATCATGCCTTACGATTTCCTTTATATCCCTCTCAAAACCAACAATAGTGCTCTGCACACAAAGGATAGAAAATTATTAATTAATATGATGCCAAGCAGCCATTAAAAAGAGTGAAATCGTGTCCTTTGCAGCCACACAGATGGAGCTGGACATCATCCTCCTAAGTGAACTGACTCGGAAACAGAGAACCAAACACCACATGTTCTCACTCATCTGTGGGAGCCAAACAGTCACAAAGATGGAAATAATAGATACTGGAGACACCAGTAACGGGGACGGGGGAAGGGGAAAGGGTGTTAGGGTTCAGAAACTACCCAGGGATACAATGTTCACTATCTGGGAAACGGGCTATCTGAGACCCAATCTCCTTCACTACACAATATGCCCATATAACGAACATGCATGTGCACCCCCTGAATCTAAATTTTTTTAAAAGAAAAAATTTTTTAAATAAAATAAAATTGAGATAATGATAAAAAGCAGGACCAAAAAAGGCGAGGCTCGGTGGCTCAACCTGTAATCCCGCGCTTTGGGAGGCCAAGGTGAGTGAATTGCCTGAGCCCGCGGGTTTGAGACCCGCCTGGGGCAACTTGGCGAGACCTCATCTCTACAATAAATCAAAAAATCAGCCGGGCATGACAGCGCGCGCCTGTAGTTCCAGCTACTTGGAAGGCTGAGGTGGAAGGATCGCCGGATCCCCAGCAGGTCGAGGCTGCGGTGGCCGGGAGCGGCCACTGCACTCCAGTCTGGGCGACAGAGTGAGACTCCAACTCAAAAAAAAAAAAAAAATACAATAAAAAAATTTTGCCAAACAACTTCAGTCAGCTTATCTTGAAAAATACAATTGCAAACTTAAGCTTATCTCGGGCCGGGGTGCTGTGGCGCAAGCCTGTAATCCCAGCACTTTGGAAGGCAGAAGCAAGAGGATTGCCTGAGTCCAAGGTTTGAGACCAGCCTGGACAACATGGCAAGACCTAGTCTCTGTAATAAACCAAAAAATTAGCTGGATGTGGTGGTGCGCACCTGTGGTTCCATTCACTTGAAAGGCTTAGGTGGAAGGATCACCTGAGCCCAGCAGATTGAGGCTGTGGTAGCCATGAGCATGCCACTGCCCTCCAGCCTGGGAGGCAGAATGAGACTCCAACTTTAAAAAAAAAAACAACAAAACTTAACTCTATTTGAGTTAAATACAGCATTTAAATCTGTGGGCCCAATGTGGAGGCTCATGTCTGTAACCTCAGCACTTTGGGAGACCGAGGTGGGAGGATTGCTTGAGCACAGGAGTTTGATACCAGCCTGGGCAACATAGTGAGACAACATCTTCACAAAAATAAAAAAAAAACCTAGCTGAGTGTGGTGGCATGCACCTGTAGCCTCAGCTACTCAGGAGGCTGAGGTGGGAGGATTGTCTGAATTCGGGAGGTTGAGTCTGCAGTGAGCTGAGGCCATGCACTGCACTCCAGCCTGGGTGACAAAATGAGACACTGACTCAAAAAAAAAAAAAAATCATGTTACTGCATGTGAAATGGGAAGCTCTTATAAATTGATAGCAAAGTTCCCATCTAGTGAAACAGACCTAAAAAAATTTGAGCATATTCGAATTTCATTTAATGGGCTATCCATGGTGAAGATATTACTTCTGATTTCATATGAAGTTAGTAGCTTTGGTAATTCCACTATTAACCCCTGGCTCACCACTTTTGCATTTTTCAGCTCTCTAACCCTCTTCCAAACTAAGGAGCTAAATACTTTGCTCCTGGGTCATTTATCAAAATGATCTTCACCCTCTTCCTCCACCTTGATTCCTCCAAGCATACAACTTTTAAAAATAAAATCAGTCTATATTACAATACATACAAATATAGCTAAATGAAAAAAAATGCTTTCATTATAGAAACTGATGCCTACATGAATTGAACATGATGAGGGCATCTCTTGTACAGAAATTTTCATCTATTAATAAATTTTCATCTACTCTAATATAACTTGTCATCAAAAAACTGCTATTTATAAATGTGCCGGCACAGAAAACTAAATTCATTGTTGAGTATTAGAAACTTTATTTCTAAAATTGGATTCTATCTGTAGTTCAATGGTATTCTTTTTTTTTTTTTGAATCGGGATCTCACACTGTTGCCCAGTCTGGAGTGCAGTCATGTGATCACCACTCACCATCGTCTCCACCTTCTGGGCTTGGATGATCTTTCCGCCTCAGCCTCCCAAATAGCTTGGACTACAGGCGTGTGCCACCATGCCCAGTTTTATTTTTTATTTTTTTAGTAGAGATAAGGTCTTGCTATGTTGTCCAGGCTGGTCTTGAACTCCTGGGTTCAAGCAATCTTCCTGTCTTGGCCTCCCAATGTGCTGGGATTACAAATATGAGCTCCCACATCCGGCCTATAGCAGTATTCTTTTTTGTTTTTTTTTTTTTTGAGTTGGAGTCTCACTCCATTGCCCAGGCTAGAGTGTAGTGGCATGCTCCTGGCCACCCCAGCAACAATATGCTGGGGTCCGGTGATCCTTCCGCCTCAACCTTCCAAGTAGCCAGAACTACAGGCACACACCACCACACCTGGCTAATATTTTATTTATTGTAGAAACGAGGTCTCGCCAAGTTGTCTGGGTTGGTCTCAAACCCACAGGCTCAGGCAATCCACTCGCCTCGGACTCCCAAAGTGCTGGGATTATAGGCTGAGCCAACGAGCCCATCCAGCAGTATTCTTAAAAGTAATCAATTCCCATTCCAGTGAGAAATGCAGTCATTTTATTATTTTATCATTATTTTAGAAAGTTCTACTCAAAGTCACTTCTCTTGCATTAGCACCTCAATCAATAACAATAAGCAGTAATTAAAGTAAGATAATAATTTTACTCATTTTAAATACATACCAACAGTGTGGATGGGCTTCCTATAGGGCATTAGTCCAAAACTGTACTGAAAAACTCCTCTGCCATGAAACAGTGGTAGAGCAAACCCCAAGATCTTCTGAAGTTTCTCTTGAACAGTTCTCAGCCAGGAGCCTTCAGGGTTGTTAATCTGTTTGAACAGCTCGTTTTCACCAAAAGAAAACACTGGGACCAAATAAGCACTATAAGTAACAAAGTTGAAGAATATGAATTTTAAAGGAAAAGAATTTAATAAATAATTTATTCTGCCCAGCTGACTTGTGCAACAAATTTCTCTCTATTTAAAATATGCCCAAGCCTTCCTATATTGTGAATTTCATGCTCGGTATGTTGACATTGCCTTAAACTTGAATTCTTGGGGAGGTAATTCACAGGCCAGCCAGCAATGGCATTTTACTCTATAGAAAATCAAGGTTCCAGGTTTCTCTTTCATCGATAGCTTCGGCCATTGCTAGTTTGATCATTTGACTGGAAATTGACACTGTGGGTCTAACTTTTTTTTAGTTGGAGTCTCAGTCTGTTGCCCAGGCTGGAATACAGAGGCACAATCACAGCTCCCTTCAGCGTGACTTCCTGGGCTCAGGCGATCCTTTTGCCTCAGTCCCCGGAGTAGCTGGGACTACAAGTCCACACCACCATGCCCAGCTAACTTTTCTATTTTTATTTTTTATTTTTGTAGAGTTGAGGTCTCACTGTGTTGCCCTGGCTGATCTCCAACTCCAGGCTCAAGCAATTCTCCCACCTCAGCCTCCCAAAGTGCTGGGATTACAGGCATTAGCCAGCGTGCTCAGCCTGGTTGTTGTGGTTGTTCTTGTTTTGCTTTTAAAAATTAAGTTTAATTGCTGAATGCCATGATATTGAGCTACCTCAGTAAAAGTTCATACTCCACTCCCCAAGAACATAGACACCTGCTTTTATTATAAGATCAATTTAGAGGAAGTCTTTAAGGGTTACAAAATCACTTTACTTCTATGTGTTCATGTAAACACATCTTAACTTTTCTGACTCTGTTACCTTATACAAAAAGCCACTTACCCATTGGCCAAAGCAATTTTAATAAATCCTTTCCGTGAGAGGATGGACAGAGTGAATTTTCCAGGATGGGCATCCAGTGATTCTTTTGCACCCCCAAGGACAATGACTGAGATGTTTCCACCTCCCTCCTTGCTCAGCACATGGGACAAGCTTTTCCTGGAAACTGAAACTGACCCTTAGTGAATAAAACAAAAAGTGTAACTCGTTATTCTTTTTTGTGGTTGTTATCTTAAAGACATGGGATACAATTCAGGATTAGGTATACAGGTGGACATGGTACAGTTAAAGTTTGGGCCTCCCTTTTAATGATTCTTTTTTATAAGTTAAAAAAAATCTGGCTGGGCACAATGGCTCGTGCCTGTAATCCCAGCACTTTGGTAGACCGAGGTGGGAAGATTGCTTGAGCCCTGGAGTTCGAGACCAGCCTGGGCAACATAGCGAGACCTCATTTCTAAAAAAGATATAAATGAATTGATTAATTAAAATAAATTTAAAAAATTTAATCATAATATTCCATAGCAACAGTAAACATTGAACAAAATTTTCTACACTGCTTACCCTTGGAGCACTTTGTAGGTCTGTAATTTTTTTCATAGCCAAGTTTTTGCAATGTATTTTAATAATAAGATCTAACATTTTGGTGGGTGATGGTCTGGGTCTTTAAAATTTCACCCCTCAGGCTCGGTGGCTCAGCCTGTAATCCCGTGCTTTGGGAGGCTGAGGTGAGTGGATTGCCTGAGCCCGCGGGTTTGAGACCTGCCTGGGCAACTTGACAAGACCTCATCTGTACAATAAATCAAACAATTAGCTGGGCATGGTAGCGTGCACCTGCAGTTCCAGCTACTTGGAAGGCTGAGGTGGAAAGATCACCGGAGTCCAACAGGTCGAGGCTGCGATGGCCGGGAGCGGCCACTGCACTCCTGTCTGGGCGACAGAGTGAGATTCCAACTTAAAAAAATAAAAAAATAAAAAATAAAATAAAATGTCACCCCTAGGTCTACTGCTTGTTTGGGTAGGCCGTACACCAGTTAACTCTTTAGGTCTCTATTCATTCTGCATTCTAAGTAAAAGGAGCCTCCTGCCTGGAGTTGTTCAGTGCACAACCTGCACAGTTATATTTGGTGGCCTTGAACATCACCCTAGGAAACCCTTGTTCATAACCAAAAATTATATCCTCCAAAGGTTTCCATGGATTTTCTAAACACACAATAGTCTCCTTACAGATATTCTACGTTGGTCATTATTTTCTAAAACTGGATTGATAATGTAAATGGTTTCACAGATTCAGACCTAGAACACTGGCCAGATTGCTACATGGTTCTAAAATGTATAGTCTGACTTGGGTAAATTGCACATTTAAGACAGTTGCATAATTGCTCAGTCAGTATATCAGGCTTTCCCATGCAAAAATAACTGTAAAGATTCCTTCTAAGATTTTACATGTACTACAGATTCTCGGAGGAAACTACAAAAAAGAATGAAGATAAAAATACAAACCATTCTTGACCCACATTTCAGATAATCGCTTTTTAATGTCTTATGTTTCTTTCTATTCTGGGTTTTATTCATTGTTTTCAGTCATAACAGAATGTGTTAGACAGGCTTTATAAAGACATAGCACAGCTCGTCTCTTCAAAGAAATGATATGCTAATTTCACTGTGGTTTTCTACTGCTGAGAGAATGCAAAATTATGACAGGGTTCTGAATGACCAATCAACCTCTTAAGAGGAGGTGGAGGGTGGTGGGTTGGAGGGTCGAAATCCTGAGCCTGCCTAGATGAGTTTGAACGTTCACTGAAGTCAAGGCATGTCGTTTCTCTGTGAGACCTTGAGAACTGGATGCCTCTCTTGACCAGAAGGAGGGCCTTGTATATTTCCAGGCCCCTGGCTCTCCTAGCTTGCCTCTGATCTTGTCTTAGTTCCTCCTTGGGTTTTCTGTCTTCACGCCATCCTTAAATGCCGCTCTTTCTTGGGGCTCCTTCATTGTCTCCCTTGTTCCTGGCCTCATCTATGCTCATGGATTCAACTTCTGTCTTTGTGTGCTGAGTTCTCCCCAATCCAATTCCCGGGAGATCTTCCTCCTGAGGCTGCAGGCCCACATCTCCGATGGGCCCAATGGACATTTCTACTCCGACAACTCAAAGATGGCTCAAATTCCACGTCTCCAAACCCAATGCACTAAATTCTCCCTCAAAATGGTTCCCTTTCCACCATTACCTATCAGGGTGAACGGGACCATCCTCTATCCAGTCACCCAGAGAAAGAGCTTCTCCCATATGTTTTTCTCTCTCTTAGCCACCATGTCGACTGGTCACTCATTCATTCATTCAAAAGTGTTTACTGAGCACCTGTAGGCCAGGTACTGTTCTAGATGCCGGTAATGACAAAACACAGTCACTGCTTTCATGAGGATAATTCGACACTAAGTCCCATGGACTCCATCAAAATGTTTCCCACTGATCTCCTCTTGCATAGTTCACTGTCACAGCCACCGTGCTAGTTTAGCCCCTGTCACCTCTCCCCTAGTCACTCCACAGGGCCCTTTCATCATCACAGTCGCTGGGCTCACCTCCCTCCAACCTCTCTCCAAGCAGGTCCCTACTTTGCTCAAAATCCCTCCCAAGTTCCCCGTGCCTCACCTATAGAATAAAATCTAAAGTCCTCTGTGTGGTACATAAGGGTGTCATAATCTAGCTTGCCACCTACCCAGCCTTCAAGGGTAGACGGAAAGGGACATGAGCCTTAAAACACAGTCCGCTTCAACTGACACTTGGTGAGTATGGCTACACCAAAATGGGCCAAGAGGAATGGGTGGGAGTTGGGATTTAAAAGGATTTAGAGTGGGGTGCAGTGGCTAACACCTATAATCCCAGCACTTTGGGAGGCCGAGGTGAGAGGATTGCTTGAGCCCATGGGTTTGAGACAAGACTGCGCAACTTGGCAAGACCTCATCTCCACAATAAATCAAAAAATGTGCTGGGCACGGTAGCATGTGCCTGTAGTTCTGGCTACTTGGAAGGCTGAGGTGGAAGGATTGCCTGAACCCAGCAGGTCAAGGCTGTGGTGGCCGTGAGCATGTCACTGCCCTCCAGCCTGGGCAACAGTGAGACTGTGACTCAAAAAATAAAAATAAAATCAAAGGACTTAGAGCACCGAGGTCTCTTGGCTAACAGCAAAAGAGACAGCTCTCAGGAAAGCCCCTCTGAAGCCTCATGAGTTCCTGTGGGTGCACGTCTTTGTCAGTCTTTCCCATCTGGAGAGGCAGCCTCCAATTCAGCCGTGTACCAGGGGCTGTCCTAGGAAGCAGGGTCTGGGAGGTATTGAGAACGCTCTAGACTTGGAGACAAGGACAGGCTAAACCTCCACTGGCTACAGGTTTGACTGTTTTTATTTGGCTTTCTGGACACTGAAGGTTGTACAAAGGAAAAGAATTCATGAGGTCATAAACCAGTGATGGCAGACAAGTCTCATCACTAATGCCAACTCTAGTACACAGCAGTGACTGTGGGCACACTACGTGGAGAAGGACTCTCACACGGAGTGTTGTGTCTGACACGGTGGTGGAGAGGGGATACCTACATCTCCTGGGCCATGAATTCATCAAACCTGCCTTCAACAATTCTACCCAAACTCACCCATGGCTGTACTTTGAATCAGAAAACACTGCACTGTAAATATATTTCTGTGCTTTTTCAAGGTTTTTAAAATTCCCCTTAATTTTCTTCCCCTTATATATAAAACAAGGTAACTAAGAGAGTTACCAACCCCCAAACTTTGGTAACAAAGAGAGAGAGAGTGCATCCTCTGGAGGCCAGATGCCTCATCTTCGGGGAGCCTGGAGGATTTAGTACGCCCTCTGGAGGTCAGATGCCACACCTTCAGGTAGCTTGGCAGGTTTAGTGCGCCCTCTGGAGGCCAGATGCCTCATCTTCGGGGAGCCTGGAGGATTTAGTGCGCCCTCTGGAGGTCAGATGCCACACCTTCAGGTAGCCTGGAAGGCTTAGTGCGCCCTCTGGAGGCCAGATGCCTCATCTTCGGGTAACCTGGAGGATTTAGTGCGCCCTCTGGAGATCAGATGCCACACCTTTAGGTAGCCTGGAATGTTTGGTGCACCCTCTGGAGGTCAGATGCCAGATCTTCCGGTAGTTTGGAGAGTTTAGTGCACCCTCTAGCATGCCCTAGCTCAGGCTGGACTGAGTTCTGTATACAAGTGCATGAACAGAAACAACCTGAAAACCTAGTCCTGGATTCTGGTCCTTTGATGCTTAGTGAGTTCTTACCAGGTATATAATGATAATAGTGACATGAGAAATTAACAGGAAGTGAAGATAATCTGGGAGATCATGGAAAATTCTATCCATGAATATGCCACTTACTGATCCTAAAAGTATAATTTCTCAAAAAGAGGCTTATAACGTTTCTGTATATTCAAGAATTACAAAAAACAGCAATTAATTGACACAATGTTCATAAATATTAAACACCCTTAGGCCAAGAGCGGTGACTCAAGCCTGTAATCCCAGCACTTTGAGGGCCTGAGGTGAGAGGATTGCCTGAACCCATGGGTTCGAGACCAGCCTGGGAAACTTGGTGAGAGTTCATTTCTACAATAAATTTAAAAATTAACTGGGCGTGGTGGTGTGTGCCTGTAGTTCCAGCTACTCAGAAAGCTGAGGTGGAAGGATTGCTTGAGCCCAGCAGGTCGAGGCTGCAGTAGCCATGAGCGTGCCACTGCACTCCAGCCTTGGGGGACAGAGTGAGACTCCAACTCAAAAAAAAAAAAAAAAAAACTTTTAAAGTTATTGTATGTAGTTGATGGTTCTTTAGTAAGTTGGTCAAGTTGAAAAACCAGACAAATTGAGCCTCTTAAGTTGAATGAGAGCCATTAATGCAAGCTTAGCCTTCTGTACACATTTATGCAGCATCATTGGCATTTCAGGTTAATTTTATTCTCAGAATTTGAACAATTATGGTTTCACTAATCAAAGAGTTTTCCACTGACTCAGAGCAGCAGTGTAGAATGGACTGTTTTTTTTTTCCTGAACCAAGTTATATTTAATCTGAGAAGAAAAGACAGCAAGTTGAGTATGTTCAGTTTATGTCCTTGCCATTACTTCAAGACTCACTGGAGGACATTTTCCATTTCTAATACTTATAAATGCACGCCAAGTGCCTCTCAAAGTGTGTAATTTATCACTTCTTTGACCCACAATTTCTTCTTCCACATCCGGATATACAAAATGCATTCATTCATTTATTTGTTGGATTAATATTTATTGTACATTTCTATGTTCCAGGCACCAGGTTAGATGCTTGGGAAGGAACAGAAAAGACACAGTCTGTGTCCTCCTAACACAGTCCATTGGGGAAGGCAAGAAACATCCAGATAGCATATGAAGCGCCAGGCAGGGATAAGGACACAGGGTCTTACTCTAAGAGACCAAAGCCCAACTGGGTCTGGGAGGGAGTGTTCCGTGTGCCCCTGCCACCCTAGAGCACTGTGATCTGCCGTCACTTACCACCACACATCAGATATTCTCGGAAGAGAGGACACTGGAGCCAACCTGAGAGCACATGAAGATACGCAGTAAAGCCAGGAAACAACTCCTTGAAATCTGAGTAATTTGTGCAAAAATTTGCAAAGGCTCCAACCACGAGTACTCCGTGGGGATAAAACCCAAATATATAGTTGTGACTTGGATCCAAATCCTGAGTTTTGATGAGCTACAGCACATTCATATTGAGATAAAAAAGGGAAATGTTCCCATGTTAGTTTCCAATGAAACACAAAAGGACTAGTTTTTCTGTCAAGAAGAAATGGAGAACATAACTTGTTTTAGTTCCCTGGGTTGGAGGCGTTTCCAAATTCCTAACTATTTTCTAAGCCCATATCCCTTCACACACAGCCTTCTATATTCTGTCAATTCAGCTTAGAGTTCATTTAGTAGCCTGAACCAAATTGCAGGCTTTCTCCCTGCTACAGTTTGAATGTGCCCCCCCAAAAGGATGTGTTAACAGCTTCATTCTAGCCAGGCACAGTGGCTCACGCCTGTAATCCCAGCACTCTGGGAAGCAGAGGCGAGAGGACTGCCTGAGCTCAGGGGTTCAAGACCAGCCTGGGAAACATGGCAAGACCTCGTCTATACAATAAATCAAAAATTAGCCGGGTGTAGTTCCAGCTACTTGGAAGGCTGGAGCGGAAAAATCGCCTAAACCCAGAAGATTGAGGCTGTGGTGGCTTTGAGTATACCACCACACTCCAGCTTGGGTGACAGAGTGAGACTCCAACTCAAAAAAATAATATAAAATAAAAAGTTTCATCTCCAATGCAACAGTGTTGAGAGGTGAGGCCTCATGAGAGGAGATTAGGCCACGAAGGCCGAGTGAAAGGATTAATGCCATTATCACAGGAGTGGGTTCAATATCTCGGGAGTGGGTTCCTTACAAAAGGATGAGTCTGGCCCCCTCTTGCTCACTCACCCTCTCTTACCCTTCTGCCCACCGCCTTCCTCCACAGGGTGGTACAGCAAGAAAGGTCTTGGCAGATGCCAGCACCTTGATAATGGCCTTCCCAGCCTTCAGAACTGTGAAAAATAAATTTATTTTCTTTATAAATAATCCCAGTCTTTTTTCTTTTTTTTTTCTTTTTGAGTAGGAGTCTCACTGTCGCCCAGATTGGTGTGCAGCAGCATGATCACTGCCACCGCAGCTTCAACCTGCTGGACTCTGGTGATCCTTCTGCCTCAGCTTCCCATGTAGTTGGAACTACAGGTCCACATCACCATACCTGGCTAATTTTTTGATTTCTTGTAGAGACAAGGTCTCACCATGTTGCTCAAGCTGCTCTTGAACTCCTGAGCTCAGGCAATCCTCTCAACTCTGCATCCCAAAGTGCTGGGATTACAAGCATGAGCCACCACACCAAGCTATCCCAGTCTTTAGGATTCTGTAACAGCCGCACAAAATATTCCCTCTGTAAAGGAAAAGGCCTGATATATAGGTGATGAAAACAAATGTCCACTCTTCTCCCAATTCAAAACAATACTTTATAAGACATTTCTACTCACATGGATTGGAAAATAGTCCTTAAAATACTTCCATACAGTCCAATTTCTGACCCAGTTGAATCTTCTCCCTCCTTGCTCTGGGGTATGCCAGTCAAAGTAAAACCACATCAAGTAAGGAATGTAAAGAACCCAACAGTTGTATAAGATCAGCAGTATAATGATTCCACAGCCCACCTGCGCTGTAAGAAAGGAAAAGGCCTCACGGAGTCAGGTCAGTTAACATCTGCTCACTGAGCTGGGCTCGGTGACTCAGCCTGTAATCCCGCGCTTTGGGAGGATGAGGTGAGTGGATTGCTTGAGCCCGCGGGTTTGAGACCCACCTGGGCAACTTGGCAAGCCCTCATCTCTACAATAAATAAAAAAAATCAGCTGGGCACGGTAGCACGTGCCTGCAATTCCAGTTACTCGGAAGGCTGAGGCGGAAGGATTGCCGGAGCCCAGCAGGTCAAGGCTGCGGTGGCCGGGAGTGGCCACTGTACTCCAGTCTGGGCGGCAGAGTGAGACTCCAACTCAAAAAACAAAACAAAACAAACAAACAAACAAAAATCTGCTCACTGTACTGTCCAATCATCGGCCCACGGTAGGGGACTTCAACACATGCAAGTTATAGGAAGCTGAGTCTCAGTTCAAGTGAGGTAACATAACAATGCAGCAATGATATAGTATCACTTAACATTTACTGGGTGTTTACTATATGCCGCACATTGTATTGTGTACTCTGCCAAGGTAGTTTCACTTAATCTTCATATAGACACAGTACCAATGAAGTAACCATAGTACTCATTTTTTTTGGAGTGGGAATCTCACTCCGTCGTCCAGGCTGGAGTGCAGTGGCACGCTCACAGCCACTGCAGCCTCAACCCGCTGGGCTCAGGCGATCCTTCTGCCTCAGCCTTTCCAGTAGCTGGAACTGTAGGTGTGCACCATTACACACGGCTAATTTTTTTATTTATTGTAGAGACAAGGTCTGGTCAAGTTGTCCAGGCTGGTCTTGACCCCCTGGACTTAGGCAATCCTCTCTCCTCTGCCTCCCAAAGTGCTGGGATTATAGGCATAAGCCACCGTGCCTGGCCCGTCATTGTATTCTTTATTTTTTGTTTTTATTTTTTGAGTCGGAGTCTCACTCTGTCGCCCAGGCTGGAGTGCAGTGGCACGCTCACGGCCACTGCAACCTCCACCTGCTGGGCTTAGGCGATCCTTCTGCCTCAGCCCTCCAAGTAGCTGGAACTACAGACGCACGCCACCATGCCCGGCTAGTTTTTATGACTTATTGTAGAGACAAGGTCTCACCAAGTTGCTCAGGCTGGTCCCGAAACCCTGGGCTCAGACAATCCTCTTGCCTCAGCTTCCCAAATTGCTGAGATTATAGGCTGAGCAAGTGCGCCCAGCCCATAGTATTCTTAATGTTCTTTTTTTCTTTGTTGTTTCATTGTGCTTTTGAGTTGGGGTCTCCCTCTGTTGTCCAGGCTGGAGGGCAGTGGCACGATCATGGCTCACCACAGCCTTGACCTTCTGGGCTCAGGTGATCCTCCCACCTCAGCCTCCAGAGTAGATGGGACTATAAGAACATGCCACCACACAGCTAATTTTTTTAACGTCATTTTTAAGGACTAACCTGAATTCCATTAATTGTCAGTGCTAATTCAACCCTTCTCTTAGTTTTGAACATCTGTGCTTCTAGCAAATTTTCTCTATAAATGTCATCCTGCAGTTTCCCCACATTTTGACTGACTTCCATAGGACAATAAGTAATATGGGCTAAGCAGAAACATTTTTGTCACTTGATACACTTTGATACTTTGCTGTCCAAAGGAGTTGTTCTAATTTAAATTCCCACTCTGCACATTGCATACATTTTTAATGTTTCATTTTATAAATAGCACCCAAATAGTTTTTTAATCCCTTGATTCTAAATTGGGATCAAAAAGAGAAAACACTATAAAAACTAGGTGACTAGATAACCTCTATTTTCTATTTTTATCTCTTTAAGCAATCTAAGGTAACTCAATTCTTCTAAATTGAAGTTCAAAGAGAAGAAGAATATTAAAAAAAAAAAAAAGTCTTGGCCGGGGGCGGTGGCTCGTGTCTGTAATTCCAGCACTTTGGGAGACTGAGGTGAGAGGATTGCCTGAGCCCACGGGTTCGAGACCAACCTGGGCAACTTGGTGAGACCTCATCTCTACAATAAATACAAAAATTAGCCAGGTGTGGTGGCACTTGCCTTCTGTTTCAGCTACTTGGAAGGCTGAAGCAGAAGGATCACCTGAGCCCAGCAGGTCGAGGCTGCAGTGGCCGTGATTATGCCACTGCCCTCCAGCCTGGGTGATGGAGTGAGCCTCTGACTCAAAAAATAAATAAAAAATAAATTTAAAAAAGTCTTTGCCAGTACATTATGCAGCTCTCAAAACTAATGTTGATACCTTTTTAAATTATCTAGATTCCCAAACCAAGTTGAATTGAATGCCTGAATTTTAGCTGAGCTGATTTAGGTATATTTTGGATTACCAGTCACAAATCAGCTCCACTCTCATAGATTTTACTTTCTCTACATTGTTGAAGAAGTTGCCCCTACTCACCTTCTTTTTTTTTTTTTGAGTTGGAGTCTCACTCTGTCGCCCAGACTGGAGGGCAGTGGCACGCTCCCGGCCACCGCAGCCTCGACCTGCTGGGCTCCGGCGATCCTTCCGCCTCA